TAGAGAACAAGTCTTATGAGTAGCAGCTGAGGGAATTGGGGTTGTTTAGCCTGGAGAGGAGAAGACTGTGGGAGACCTTATTGCTCTCTACAACTATGTGAAAGGAGGTTCTGACGAGATGGGGATCAGTCTCTTCTTCCACTTAGAGACTTATAGGACAAGAGGAACTGGCTTCAAGTTGCACCAGAGGAGGTTTAGGTTGGATAAGGAGGAGATGTGGTGGAGTCACCATCCCTAGAGGTATTTAAAAGACATGTAGAGAGATGCTTAGGGACATGGTTTAGTAGTGGGCTTGGTAGTGTTAGGTTATAGTTGGACTTGTTGATCTTAAAGTTCTTTTCCAACCAAAACAATTCTATGACTCCATGATTTAGCTGTGTTATCAATGACATGATATCAGGGCAGCTGAATTTCTCCCAAAAGGCAGTTGAATACCTGCCTAATACTTCCTTGAGTTTTCACTTGGAAATGTTAAGGCATTATGCACACTGGCATTATCTGTACTTTTGTCTACACCCTGCCTGTGCCGTACAAAAAAATCTACACTGCACAAATTTGTGCAGGGTCAAAACTAAATAGGATTGCATTTCTTACCTCTGCTAAAAAGCAGCTTTTTTTTTCTTAAACAGCAGACATTTTCAGATACCTGCCCTCTGCAGTCCCTGATTCTGATTCCGTTGTGAGATATTTTGTAAATGTCAATTTTGTTACTGAGGGAGGTTTTGAGGTGTGAAAATGTTTCAATAAAAGCATTATGTAAATGTACATACGGGCAAAAAAAACCTTCAACCCAATAATCTACAGCTTTTCTACCTCATATTGGCTTTTGCTATAGCTATTTATTCATCCAATTATTGTGTATAGTTAGAGCCATGTTTCTTGAAAGATGAGGCATGAAAATAACTTCAGTACATGAATAAGAGTAGCTGAGGTTATATCTTTAAAAACCTTAAATGAACTTGAAGTTTTACTAGGTCAGGAACAGTCTTGAGTTTTGCTTTCCTGCATAAATATGCAAAATAAATAAAAAAAAAAAATAAAAAACCAAACACACTTCTCCAATATTGCATCAAATCTAACATTGCTTTTTTCTTCAGAGTATGACTATAGAAATCTAAAGCTCAGAAGAGCTGAGAAGAGAGAGTTGTCTAATAAAGCCTTCTTCCCTCATTTGTTACAGTTCAGCTTTTTGTGCTTCTTTCTGGTGTTTGCACCACAGTGCCAAACTAACTTAGTAGATGATTTTCCCCTGCTGGTGTTGTGCTTATCCAGTGATTTCTGTATATGTTGTCATCTAGAAAATTATCATTGTTCCTTTCAAAAGACATATATGGAAGGTTTCCCCTGTAGACCGTGCTATGAAATAGCAGCTGTTAATTGCTTGAGTTACACGGGAAGCAGTACAACAGTAATACCTAGACATGAATGAAACATGTGAGCACAGCTGACCTTTAACAAATACTTCTGAGGTCCTTATATTGGTTTGATGTAGCTTTGTGATTTATTTTTTATTCCTTACAATGGAAGCTTCCATTTTGCTTTTAATAAGAGCTGTGCCAGTTTGTACTCAAGGAGGCAGATTGAATCTGGATTTTCTCTGTGATCTGAGCTGTTAAAATAAATACCACAGGGGTGTAATAGTGTTGACCTCTGAAAAGGTTTTTTTTTTCCTTTTGTGAAGGATTCTTCTCAGTGAGGAGTACTGTGTTATAATCAAGATTTTTATAGTTTCCCTGCAGGTTGCAAAAATGTTCTTGAAAGAGAATATCACTTTTCTTTAGTTATTACTGTACCATAGAGCTACTGCTGTTTTATGAAACTATTTATATCAATGCCTCTTTCCTTTCCATAGTCAAGATTTAACACCAGTTTGTTCATCGTCTTGTGTAGCTGAAAAGGATTCTTGACTAAAGTAGTTTGTTCCAAGTTGTATTTTACAGGCTACAGGAAAGATCTTGTCCTTCATTTTGGTATTCTGCCAGTGCATTGCTGTGCCACAACTGTTGGAGTCTGGCTCCAAGGGTGACTGAAAAAGCTGCTGTTAAGTACCTACACTCCCTTTACATCAGCATGCTCAACAGAAGGGCTCTTCAGTGCTCTGATAACTTAACAAAGACAGGGAGTGAGGAATGTGAGACAGGAGATATTGCATGAACACTAGTGTTTCCAGAAGCCTACACTTCAAAGTCTGAGTATCTTCATCCACTTCTGATTCAGTATATCCTTTTCTGAGAAAAGACAGGTCATGAGGAGAATGTTCTCCTCAGAAAGGAAAACATCTTTTGAATCTCTGCAGGCTAATGCAGAGTTTATCTTAATTTTGAGATCTTGACCAAGTTCTATAATCACTAAAAGTATTCTGCAAAAGGTGGGAACCATTACCATCTTCAGGCTTGCTTTTGAAGAACAGTTCTTGTGCTTGCTAAGTGTGGTCTGGATCTGGCATGATCTGTTGCACTGGCCTTTCAGGGAACATACCACATGCAACTCAGGTCTTGGGCAGACTTCACACAATTTTTCATCCAGTTGTTGAACTGTAAGAGGTTATATACTTCTTCAGACCAATGTTTTGTGGAGCAGGTATTGACACTTGAGATGACATGGCTGTGGAGCCTTTGTGATCCAAATATCCAAACTTGCAGGCACATATTGATTTAAGCATCTACAGGGCTGGGCAGCACAGTGAAAGTGGTTTGGTTCACTCTTTGGAGACTGGAGCTCACAGGGCATTTTTAGAGATGGTCTGAGTGCTACTCTGATGTCTGGAATTGCAGAGTTTCATTGCTAAGGTTGTGTATTGGGCAGACCCATGTTTAAATAGTTAGGGTTAACAAAGGGATGCAACATAACTGATTCTGTGTTTTCTTGCCAAAATCTATTGTATTTCATATCTTACTGAAACAGAAGTTGCCTTTCCGTTTTACAGTTTTAGTTCCCTCACTTAAGTCCAGTCCACTGTCCACAGATCTGCCTTTGTTCTTACTTTATAGTCTAATAAAATAATAAAATTTATTTACTCCATAAATAAAATAATTTTGATTCAGCCACTTAGGATATCCGATCTTCCAGCTAATTTACATTATGATTTCTCAAGGTTTAAAAATGACAGTGCTTTTTCTTAAAATATATCTGAAAATGGTGCTAAGTAGATACTTAAAATTAAGTCTCAGTATTCAGTGTTTTACCTTCAGCTCCTCTCTCAAACTGATGTTTTCTAAACTACCAGGAGCTGAAAAACAAAACTACTCTATAAAAACTGCGAGGCATGTAAGGCCAGTTGTCCAACTTGTTCTTAGCTAAGAGGAGCAGAAGGAAAGAAGTTTCTTTGTTTCTTGTTAAATGGATTTGGTCCCTTATTCAAGTCATAAATTAGAATAAGGATTTTTCTTGGGTGCTTGGAGGGTTTTGTTGGCTTTTTTTATTCCTTTTTTTTTCCTTTTTTTTGTGGGAGTGTGTTTGTTACCAAGACAGTGGAATGAATGCAGCAAGAATGATGTTACAGGTCTCAGTATGTCCAACCTTAGGAACTGTACTTTATGAATTCTTTCTTCCTCATCATCCCAGTCCAAGCAGCTGATAAAATTCCCAGTGTTACTTAAAATAGGTCAAGGGCAATTGCAAGTTATGGCACCAGTGTGATGTGTAGTATGGTGCCCAGTAAGCTTGAGTATTGCATTGCCACACCTTTCCACAGGGCTAGATCAAGTCACTTGTGCTTTGTGTCACTAGGAAAGCTCTAGAAAATGTCTTGCATCTGCCATATCCAAATTTGTACATGTATGTTAGATGTCATGGTTTTTTTCTTATTCAGGAGTGCTACCTTTGTTCTTGGCCCAATTTAGTTAATTTTTGGTTGAAAACAGTCCTTGAATAGATCGTGAATTAGCTGTATATATAGTGAGAGTGTTTGAAAAACACAGCTGCTCCGAGATTTTTATGGAGAAGGGATGAATGCACACTATTATAAAGTGCTGAAGTTACTTTTTTTTAACAGTGCTGTTATTTATATTTTTTTAGCAACCTCACTTGAGAATATTAACCTCAGAAACATCTTTCACATCCCACTTTTTCAGCCTGTTGTTCTCTTATATGCATGTGATTTTTTTCCTACAGCTTTATCATGAACTGCTTTTGTGTTGCTGCTTCCTTGTTTGACTTCTGTGATTTTATCTTCAGATTTTATATTCCACAGAGCACTGTTGTATCCTGACGAGCAGTTTCGACATTCTAGTTTGAAGTCTTAATAGAGGAATACAAAAAATTAACTAAGTAAAACATAAGTGTTCCTTATAAATACTATTTTAAACTCTACATGATTTTAAAACCCCTCAAAATGTGCTGGTTTAAGAAGACAAATTCAAAAGTCTTGTGTATCTTTTTTTCTTCTGTTTTTTTTTTCTTCTTTCTGAGAGCTTGTTACTTTGTGTGGATTTTTTTTCAGTCTCACAACATACCCACAGACACGTGGGATAGGTATGTTAGATTATCCTGTTGTTTTGAAAGGAGAATTAATACAGTTTATTCTTATGTATACCAACAATGCATCTGATAGGCATTCTTACACCTCATCTGTCTTGCTTTAATGCTCAGTACGCTAAAGACTTTAAGCAACTATAGCACAAGCTGCTGTGTTGTTGAATGGCAAAAACAAGAAACATCAGCAAAGATATGTTAATATCTTCAACTCTGTGTTGATACCTGTAACTGATACGTTAATATGCAACTGCCTAATGTTTATTACAGCTTTTTGTTTTAAATTTAAAGAAAAAAATTGGGATTTGAAAGGGCAGTGAGAGGTCTTTACTTTTTATTTTTAATGGAAAAATACCCATCAGCAGTTGTAACAGTCACATAATACTTTTTTCGGGTGGAGAGAGAAGGGCAGAGGGAGGGCCGAAAGTAAACAGGGCGTTTGTTTTACCAGTTCCAGTTAAATATTATTTCTTAATTTCACTAGTATATGATATCATGGCCACGATTGTTCTTTTTCGACTCTGTAGACTTGCCACCCCCTCCTGTGCCACCTCCCGCTATAAAATCACCGACGGCCCCGTCCAAGTCGCAGCTGGGTGCACGTCGGTGCGGCCAAGGCTGGCTTCGGTGGAGGCGCGGACGGACAGGCCTGCGGAGCGGAAGGCAGCCAGCTACAGGGGGCGGGACGGGGCCGACGGGAGGCAGCACTCGGACGCGCGGGCGAGTTCAGGGGAGCGGAGAGAACCCCAGGAGCCGCAGAACGACGGGAAGCCGCGAGGAAATAGAGCACCGAAACGAGAAGGCACACCAGCAAAAACTCATCTTCTTCAAGGTTATTTTGCCTGCTCTGGGTTCACTGAAGTCTTGGGTGTTGATGGCAGGGAACGGGCCGGCTCTTTGCGGGTCTCTCGCACCACTGGTGTGAGGGAAATTCCGTCTGCTGAATTGTCGCAACTTACTGTAGTTACACAGTGCTAATATAGGTGACGGTGCAGGTTCTCATTAGGGGGAAATAGAAATAAAAATTTACAAAAAACATAGCGTTTCCATCTTGCTTTCCTTATACCCATCATGTATTAAAGCTAATGCTGAGGAGGCCTAAACAGGAATATTTCTTGAGACTTGTAGAAGTCAGTGTCTTTGCCTCTACTATACATCTGTAGTCTAGTTATATTTAATTTACCTAATTATAATATACTTTATAAGGAAAGTGAGTTCTACCTAAGAATAGCCACTTGGCCCATTTTTGCCTCTTTGTAAAGGAGAAAAGGACCAGAATGATACTCGGTCCTGTTTAAAAATTAAGAAAGCCATAGTAGTGATTCATCAGCTATAAATACTAATTGGCGTGGCATTATACGAATCAAAACTGATCCATCTAATCTCTTGTGTATGGAAGTTGGTAAGATTAGTAATTAAAGGAGTGTGATTAATGGAAGTTGCCAAGTGTTCACTAAGACATTCAAAACAAATTCATGCAAATGCCTGGTCTTTTCTTCTTATAGGTATCAAGGGGCAATATCAGGGGTGACTGAGTAGTTAGTTGGTTAAACGGGCACACTAGTAAGAGGTTGGTTACAGTGTATTGCTGTAGAGAAAAGTTATTAGAAGGTTATCTTTGAGGACGGTGCTGAAATCTTAAACCATTCAAACTTAGCCTGAGAAATGCAAGATCTAATATTTAGATTGATTGAGATCCTTGTGAGTGTCATGCATGTATTGTCATTTCCTTCTACTCAGTCATATTGAAAATATACTATGGGAGGTAGGTTTTTTTCTTAATTTTGATGGAGAGCATAGAGCAGGGATCATGGATTGAAATGAAACGGAGAGTAATCTTGAGTTAGTTTTTCTATGGTGAATGTTACCACATGAATACTATCCTCAAGAAAGCTTCTATAATGCTATTACAGAAACAGTGTATTTCATATTTATGTCAGGCATCACTTTAAAGTTACTCAGGATTATAAAAAGTGAGGTAAATCATCTGAATCCAGAAATTTTAGGACCACAGTGTCTCTGGGGTTGTAGACATAACAATGTATGTATTTAATTATACAGAGGACATCCTGCCATACTCTAGACCAACGTTTCCAACATCAAATAATCCTAGAGATCCCAGCTCCTCCAGCTCTATGTCATCAAGAGGATCAGGAGGCAGGCAGAGGGCAGATCAAGCAAATATAGCCCGAAGAAATGTTGCAGAAATGCAAGTACTGGGAGCATATGAACAAGGAGAGGAGGAAGAAGAAGAGATGGAGGTAATGGCAGTTGTACTACTGGAGATGACTAGAACAAGGCTATTTTCTGTGCTTAGACAAATGCCAAGAAAAAACGCTTTTAAACCAGAAATATTTCTCTTCAGAAAAATTAGCACTTTTATCTCTCAATGTTATGCCAAATCCAAGAAAAGGAACTTCAAGAATATGTCACAAACATTAAAAAAGAAGTAATATGTAGCTTAGTGTAACTGTTGCCACACTAAAACATATGAACAGAACTTGTAGAAATACAGCATTTAAATGCACTTTACATTATCCAGATTCTTTCAAAAGTGAAAATAAAGAACCAGAGCATCTGAGAGCACATTGACATTGTCTTTCACATTTTTTGACAGTTTATTCTATATTTATTAGCTATTAAGTCATGAACTTGTTTCTTTTTTTTTTTCCCAATTAATTGTACTAATTCAGTTAAAATCCTGACTGCAGAAAGGTTGTCCAACATGCAGTCATGTTGCTGCATGTAATTAAAAGTAGTAATTATTATTTAAAGGTAATAGTCTCTAAAGTATGTGGAACAAATTTTAAATAATAGTCTAAGGTAGTAACTTATAATTTTTTTTTTTCCATACAGGAAACAGAAAGCTGAAGACGACGACATGTACTGTCACAGGCTTTTAAAATCTAATCAGAAAAAAAAAAAAAATCACTTAAGATGCCTCAAGTCTGATGATATTTGATGCCAGAAATAATATTCAGTGCAATCAGAGTGTACAATTTTTCATTCTTCATGCCATCAGAATGCTATTTTTTATTTTCCTCTTCCTTTGTAAACCCTTCTTATGAGGAACAGCCTCTGCCTGTTCCTTCACACTAAGTGCATCACCCCCACTGTCCGAGGAGGCAGGTAAGCTGCTCCTCGTGGTACTTGGGCCAGCTGCTGCTTCAGGACGAGCAGGGAAGGGGATTCCAGAGCCCGGGACCGGAGGCCTCTCCCCGGCGGGGAGGTGCTCAGCACGCTGCCGGTGCCCCAGCCAGCCAGGCGGTGACGCTGCGAGTGACTCGGCCCTGGGGGGGAGAAGGTCCTCAAAGTGAACGTCAAGCAGAACACTGTTTTATTCTCGGGGGTCACTGTAGTCTGCAGTCAGTGCAAATGGTATCTTGCAATTTGAATACAGACTGTCTCTCTTGTTTTCTGCCAGTCTCTTGCTAACCTTTTGCAGAAGATACAGTTTTACAAATGCGAGAAAAATTAATTTGGGACGAGGTGGCTCTTATTGTAAATATGTACTCATTTTAAATCCCCTGTGGTACTTTGATTTGTCTTTCCATTTTCATCATTAACTACATTCTTATTAAAAATGTCCTTTGGGATAGGCAGGAGGTAAGCCAACGTGATTGCTGTTTGCCTAATCGTGGCATAAGCAAGTTTATCTGAAACTTTTTCTGATTTTGAGCTTCAAGAATGCTTATGAACATAAGCAGGAAAATCAATGGACATTTTTAATAATGATAGGCTAATATCATTAACTGTTACTGGCCCAAATCTCAGACCTCTACTTGTGTCAATTCACCTTAAAGAAGAAGTGCCACTTAAAGAAGTTTTGTTTGATCTTGGCAATTAATTTTTTTGTAATGCACTGCTTATCTTTTTTTTTTTTTTGGTTTTAAAAGCACAATCACTAAACTTTGTTTGTAAACCATTGTAACTATTAACCTTCTTTTTTGTCGTATTGAAAATGTTAAGCATTTGTTTGGGATATTTTTCATCTTTTTGTTAATGCTTTATGTTTGTGTTTGGAATATTTGAATGATGACAGACGGTAAAGTAACAAACCTAAATGTGGGCCATAATCAAAATACTTCTCACTTTTCCTGGACTTACAGAAAATTACCAATTTTGTGTGGCCTCTCTCAATATTGGATTACCATTAAAGCTGAAATAGAGGCATTAGTTGCGTTGAATTTGCCAAATTATGTCCTCTGTCTGTAGATTTTATGATCTTTTTTGTAATTATAAAATTTCTTTGTCATTGGTGCTAATGGAAAAATGTGTGTTTGTTTATTGACAGCTATCAGGACTAGCCCCAATGAAAAAAAAAAAAAAAAAGAAGAAAAAAAAAAAGTGTTTTGGTGTTTAGCGAGGACTGAAATTTTTCATTTAGCTGATTTTTAAAGAAAGGTTCCATAGAAAGGGTGTGCGGTAATAAAGGAACAATCCATGTGATTAATGTTTTCATTATGTTCATGTAAGAAACCTCATATTTTAGCCATAATTTTGCATACTGAGGATCCAATAATCAGAAAAGTAATTTTTGTCACATTATTTATTAAAAATGTTCTCAAATACATTCTCTTTCTTGAGTAGTTTCTTGTGTTCCCTGAAACATAATTTTTAGGGCCAATTCTGATCTCAGTTCTGTTGAGAAGAGTCAGAGTCCTTTGCACTGAGGTCATGCCGTTACAGTAGCACAAGCAAAGTGTGAGAGCTAGATGCAGCCTAAGATTTTACATAATTACAATTGATTGCATTAAAGATCTGATTTCTGGGTGCTTCATGAACCGTGATAACGAAAATGTCTCTTAGCCTGCCAATTTCCAGAGAGAGCTGATGAAGAAAATCTGTACCAACAAAAGCATTCACGTCAGGGGTTAGATACATTTGTTGCAAAGGAAGTAAGAACCAAATATGTGAAGGGAATGAATATTATGAGTCATCTGTTTGTTGAGGCCTGCACAAATATAAGTTTTCTTACCTGCCTGCTGTCCTGCATTGGGGCTGTTCTGGGGTCATCAGAGTCCTGCTGTGTATTATCATCAAATAGATGATGGTGTCTCTTAGATTTTTGTAATTTTGTACTCTTACTAATCACCCTGGTTTTGCCCTTCCCTGCTCTACCCCCATCATCTCATTTGAAAAAAGAAAAAAGAAAAAAAGAAAAAACATAGCCAACACATTCCATACAAAAAGCTACTACATCTTCTATTCAACAGAACCTTTTTTTTCTTGTATTCTTGACTGCCATACTTCTCCTTTCCCAAGAGCTTTAAACAGTCCAGAGCCAGATCCTGAGGTGCTGCAGTGTCCTACAGCAGAGTACTAAAGCCTTGACAACTTAATAGGGTGTAAGACTCAAGTGTAGGGTTTTTTTTTTATTTTAACTGTAGCTTTGAAGCAGATACTGAGATTGTTGAGTAAGTTAAGTATGTTACTTCTCTGTGTTGCCTGGGGTGAGAGGCTTCGGTGTCTTCAGTCCTCCTGCTCGAGTTCAGAGCTCCGTGTGTTCGCACTGCCAGCATAATCCAGGCAGGAGCCAGTCAGCCAGGCTGTGCCGCAGGAGACAGCCACCTGGTCTGCACCTTCCTTTGGAGGAGGCAGGAGAGGTTGATCTGATGAGTACAGTCTGCTGCAGCAGCCGATTGTCTTTCCTGGCACTGGGAGCAGCCTCATGGTGTAGGACCACACCATTGCCCTAGCAGGGAGTGGGCAATGAGGTGGAGCTCTAGGCAAGGTCCCCAAGTGCGTCAGCTGCTTAAGCCATTGATGGAGGTGTAGTGGTGCATTACAGAGCTGGGATCTAGTTGCAACTGCAGTGTGGAGACCTCTGTTAGGTGTTTCTGTCCAGAAACACTGTTGCTGCATGCCTGAAATGACAGTTACTCACTCCATTCTTTACTGGCATGGTGATACACTGGAAATCAACCACACACTGGATCCCCAGCTGATGTCTGTGTCCATCTCCGTAGCTTCACTATAAGTCAGACTCTAGCTGAAGTTCTGACCTCAAAATGGGAAATCCTGCCCAATGAGTTTTTTTAATTATTATTAGAAATTAATAATAACGAGAGTTATTAGAAATTTGTTTGGTAGTTGATGTTGTTCCCTGAGAAGTTACTTGGACTGTTTTGCAATCGCATTCAGTTGTGATTAGCAGTATCTTGAGACAGTGCATCACAGAGCTGTCACACAGTTTTTGCACCCACACTGGGTTCTCAGTGTGTTGTGCTCTTGCCAAAAACACTATAATGAAGATAAAATACACAACAGCTTGGTCTTAAAATTATAACTCCTGTTAATCAGTATTGATACGTACTTGACTTGGTCTTTGGCATTCAGGTACGGTAAAACTAGCTTGTTTACACATTGCTACCTGACATAAAGAACTATTCAGTGACTGGAAAGCCAACACAACAGAAGAAAGTAGTGTTCAGAGGTTTTGATTACACTGTATAATTGAAGACAAGTATTGTACTAGAAAAATTCGTAGCATTTCTGCGCTGAATTAATGTAATGGAGGTAGAAGTTTGATTATTCTTCTGCTATGTTTTGTGAAATCCTGTATGAGCTACTGTTAAATTTTACTTTGCTGAAAGTGAAGTATTTATTGGGAAGCTGTAAAAAGGGTCTAAAAAAAGAATTGTAAAATTTTACATTTAAAACTTTAGAAAATGCCTTGTACAAGTTTTACAATTATGTATCAGTTTATTTTCCAAAGAGTACTTTGAAGCATAGATGACAAAGTGATTTCAGTTCAGGATAATGCAAATGTACTCTACATCTGTATTTGCAAAAATTTTAGCTTCAACCCTTCATGAAACCTAAACAATGCAATTTGCTTCAACTCCTGCAAATGTGTTTGACCATATGTCTACCACCTTATTTGCTATGTTGCAGAACCAGTGATTTGTTAAAATACCAACGTACTTAATTTATTGGTTTCGTTAGTCTGTAAAGTTTTGCACAATGTGTTGCTTTTTACATTTTCTACTTCAGTTTTCCATAATCTATTATCTTTATTGAGTAAACTTAAGGCAAAAGAACTTCCATGGAAAAAAAATGTAGGATGTGCCTAAGATGACATCTCTTCTGCAATATACTATTTCAAACGTTAATCTCCAACCTCTGTATTTACAGATCCTAAAAGATTTTTTTTCTGTAAACAACAGAACTATATATGAAAAAAAATTAAATATACTATATTCCTTAAGTGAAGCTTTAAAATTAATTGTCTACTGACAAGTGGAGAAAATGTTATTTTACATTGGTTTTGCTTACGTTACAGATGAAAATTCGTTGCAAAAGAAAGTCCTACTGCTTGTGTGTGAGAAGTGTTATGCTTAGTGTATGCATAGGAAGGTCCTGGTATTTGCAAATGCAGATACCATTTTGTATTTGCTGACATGAACATTGGGAACTGAGAGTCTGTTCCAAACACTCAGCAGAAAGGTGAACATGTTTATGGATATTTGAGGCTTACCCATGCATGAGTAACTCCTAGTGTTCCCATGGACATCATCCTCACTGGACATGCCCTTCAACATCTTTGTTTTGTATTGAACTAACTGAAAATTTCAGAATTTAAATCACAAAAATAATCTTTAAAATTGACAACAACTGTGGATCTCCGTGTGAACTGCTTATCCAGATTTGATTTTCTTTACTTTTTTTTCATTGTACGTGATGATTTTTCTGTTGCCTGTAAGTATGTTCTTCACAGAAACCAGTGCACTGTGGAATTGGTGAAACTGGAATATAGCCTTTATGAAAGCTGTAAAGTACGAAGGCAGACTGAAAAAGAGGAATCAAGGGACATAAAGAGAAAAAAAAAAATATTTGAGTGGCTGAGGAACCCAAGTCTCATTGAAGCT